CCCCCGTCGGCGCGGGCGACGCCCCGTCGAAGGAGGGCGCCGCGCCGTCGCCGTCCAGGGGTACCCCCTCGCTGCCGCCGCTCGCGCGGCGGTCGGCCTCCTCTGCGCAGACCACCATGAGCAGCATGCCGAACTTGTCCACGACCTCGGGCTTGATGACCTCGCGCACGGCCTCGCGCACGGCGGCCGCGCGCTGGCGCGCGGCCAGGGCGGCTGCCGCACCCGGCCCGCCGTAGGGATGCGCGTGCGGCTGAGCCTGCGCCAGGAAGAGCGGCGGGGGCAGGGCGGGGCCCGCGCCGTATCCGCCCGGCCCGGCGCCGAGGCCGCCCGGCGCAGGGCCCCCCGCCCCGCCGCCTTCGACGGCGGGGTGCGGGGACGCTAGCGCCAGCGCCGGATCCATGCCCGCGCCGTAGGGGTGCCCGTAGGGCGGCGGGGGGAAGGCCACTGCAGGTGCTCGCCCCGCCGCGTCCGGCCGCCGCACCTCGGCCCCCGGCGAGCCATAGCCGCCGGGGACAAAGGCCCCCGAGCCCGCCTCCCCTCTTGACCCGGACCCGGCGCCCAGGGAGTGCGCCGCGTCCGCCGACCCCGGGCCGGCGCCGACGGGGTGCGGCGGCGTGGCCAGCGCGGTCTGCAGGTGCGCGGGCAGGCCCGGCGAGATGGCCGCGGCGCGCGCCTCCGACCCATCGTAGTTCTTGCAGTCGCAGCACTTGCAGTTCTCGGAGCAGAAGATGCCGGCCTGGAAGCACTCGCAGTACTTCTTCAGGCACCCGCTCTTCTTGCAGTTGCAGCCCTTGTTGTGCCGCGCCGCGCCCAGGCTCGCGCCCTCCTCAGTCTGGGTCGGCGGGGGTGCGTTGGAGGGTGCGAGGTGAGGTGGTGTGGTGTGAGGCATGAGGTGCCTTGCAAGGGGGTAAGCGGCGCCGGCATCGAGTCTGTGGAGTGCTCTGACCTCCCATCAGTGCAGCCTGGAGCCACCACCACCCTGGACCGGCATGGATCGTCCGAATCACCCCCCCTCCCCCCCCAAAAACCCCACCACGTCGCCGGCGATCTTGGGGCGGAAAGCATTGGGGTTGCGATCCAGGATGGCCTCCACCGCCGACTGGCGCACGCCCTCATTCTGCTGGTTATTACAGCAGCCCACGCAGTTGCAGCCGTCGCAGTACCGCCCTGAGGCAAAGCACTCGCAATACCTGGTAGTTTTTTGGGGGGGGCCGTAGGAACATCGTGGGTGCTGGGTCTTGATGCCTGGCAGATGTGCTGTGGCAGGCGATTGCAGCAGCACACTGCGATAGAGCAAGTGAAGCACGGCATGACATCCTCTGCACCCAGACTGCACAACCCCCCAACCCATGCTCACAGCTTCAGGCAGCGGGAGTTCTTGCAGTTGCAGTGGCGCTTGGAGTTGGCCGCCGTGGGAGGGTTGCGAGGGCGACCCCCGGGCCGGCGGCTGGGCGACGCCATGGCGGCTGCGGCGGCTGCCGCCGCGCTTGCGCTGGCCTGCTGCATGGCTGGGTAATAGAAGTGAGGGGGCTGATTCCCCAGCATCGCCAGCCCGCCCCCAGCAGGGGCCCGACCACTAGCTGGAAAGGGGGGAGTGCCCGACTGCAGCAGGCTCATGAACCTGCGGGTGCGACAGAGGAGCCACGGAGTGTGAATGGTTGGACTTCGCACGCGCTCCTTACTCCCAGCTGCATGCATACTCATGTTTTACAGCGCCTGAACACCCAACAGCCCTCGAATCCATTGCCATCCCTGGCACCCTCCGACTCACTGCGTGCTGCCTGGGGTCCCACTGGGGCCGGGCACACCCATGCCCATCAGGTGGTGCGGGGTCTGGCTGGGAAATATGGATGGCAGCGGCTGTGACGTGGGCGTCAGCGGCAGCCCAGAGGCCGAGTTGGAGCCTGGGGAAGGGGCCGCGAGGGTGGGTGGAAGGTGTCCAGGGTGACCAAGTCCAATCTCCTGAGCCATACATTGAGCAAGAGCCACTCCGAGTCTACACCCAGCACTCGCTCACCATCCCCAGCACCGCTCAGACCGGTGTTCATGTCGGCTGCACCCCTCTGTGGCCTGGAGAGCTACAGGGGCTGGGTGCAGGGTTGTCGGCCTATCCCCCGCGAAGCCGTCCTGGTGTGGCTCTCCGGACCACCCGCGGGCAAAAATGCACTACAAGGGAGATAAGGGTTGCCCACTGGGCAATTGCTGCCCTGGTGGCCCCCCTGGTTTTCGGCGGAGCCCAGACGCTTGCGGGATGCTACCTTCCAGCCCCCGACCTCTGGTATGTCGAGGGCCTGGTATTCGCGGCAATGGTACTGCTCAGGACACGCTGAGATCTTTGAACCGAGCAAGGGTAAGTCGATGAGGTGGAAGTACATGGCGCCCCGCCCTGCACACCAGCTCTGTTCCGCCAATTTTTGTGTTTGCGCGGAGTTCTCGTGCCGGGGTCGATGCCCTACATACGAGTTCAAGAGCATTCGCTGAGCGACCCATCAGGGCCATCCAGAGCTTTGAGGTCTTTCACTATCTCGGATCCAGAGAATCCTTGTTCGAGAACTCCTTCTCCGATCAGTGGGCGCCCAGTGTCTCGCTGCGCCTCGTCGCGTGATCAGTCAATCGCGGCGCTAGACGGGAGCACCACCAGTGGCAAGCCCGCACCTCTTACCTGGGAGCAGCCGGAGGCATGTCGTCTCTTAAGACGCTCAATCCCAAGGCGGAGGTGATGGGGCGGCAGGCAGCCCTGTTTATGAATATCAATGCCGCCAAGGGACTCTATGACGTGATGAAGACCAACCTAGGTGGGCGAGGGTGACCATTGCATGAGCGCATTGGATGGAAATTAAGATTTGGAAAGGTCTATTAGATGCAGCATCTCAGACTGGTAGGGGACTGCGTGATGGTGCTGTGCATCGGCAGCTGTTCGTTCTCACTGTCCCATTCTGGGGATCTAGGGCCTCTGAACTAAGATGCTCATTCACATTCCCCCGACATAACTCATCAACAGGTCCCAAGGGCACCATTAAGATGCTTGTGGGGGGCGCAGGAGGTGCGCGGTTGCGAAATGGGTGGATTGGTGCGCAGCCGTGGTGCCCGGGCCTGCCGCCTGGTAGGCACCCAAAGTGATGTGCCCCTGCCATGCCAGCGCCCGCACACCCCACCACACACAGACATCAAGCTGACCAAGGACGGCAACGTGCTGCTGAGGGAGATGCAGATCCAGAACCCCACGGCCGTGATGATCGCACGTGCTGCCGTCGCCCAGGACGACGTCACCGGGTGGGTGGCGGGGGCAGAAATGCTGGTGCCTCCCGGAAATTGTCGCCTAAACATGAGTCCATGCGCGTGCTCGCGTCGACGTCTTGATGCATGCTGCGCCAGTGCTGCATCACCCGACTGATGCCCCGGGTGCTCGACATGCATGCCCCTCCGTAGGATCGCTCGTTCCACAACCCCCTCACCACAATGGACGAATTCCCTCACCCAGGGACGGTACCACCTCCATGATCATCTTCATCGGCGAGCTGATGAAGCAGGCGGAGCGCTATATTGGCGAGGGCCTCCACCCTCGCGTCATCGTGGAGGTGAGGTGGCGTCGCCAGTGCCAAAGGTGCCGGGCGTTGATCAACGTGGGAGGGGGCGGCGTGCTCTTGCTATCCCCCCCCCCCGACCAAAAGCATACTCCCCCATTCACCCTTCCCAAAACAATCAGGGTTATGAGCTGGCCAAGCGCGCGGCGCTGACCTTCCTGGACGGCTTCAAGGAGGCGGTGGACGTGTCCGACCGCGAGGCCCTGCGCTGCGTCGCCAGGTCGGCGCTCCGCACGAAGCTGCGCGAGGACCTGGCCGACCAGCTCACCGACATCGTGACCGACGCGGTGTGCATAGTGCGCCCCGCCGACGGCGCGCCCATTGACCTGCACATGGTGGAGATCATGCACATGCGCCACCGGCTGGACACCGACACGCGGCTGGTGCGGGGCCTGGTGCTGGACCACGGCTCGCGCCACCCGGACATGCCACGCAGCGTGGAGCGGGCCTTCATCCTGAACGCCAACATCTCGCTGGAGTACGAGAAGTCGGAGGTGAACGCGGGCTTCTTCTACTCCTCCGCCGAGCAGCGCGAGAAGCTGGTGGCCGCCGAGCGCGCCGTCACTGATGCCAAGGTCCAGCGCATCATCGACCTGAAGAACAAGGCGAGTGTATGGCGGAGGGGGGGTTCCATTGGGGGTGGGGGAGGATCGACCCGGCTGCTGCAAGCAATGCATTCAAGGTGTGCATGACCCAGGCCCTGGCCTGCTAGACAGGCATGTGCTTCAGCTCGATCATCTCGACAGCATGGGCAGCTTGTCCGGAGTCAGCACAGGGGCCTGCCCGCCGCTCCTTGTGAGCATGATGCACAGATCTTCCCCTCACCCCCACCCAACCCCCTCCCATAAACATAACACCCACAGGTGTGCCCCGCTGGCGAGGGCAGGGGCTTTGTGGTGATCAACCAGAAAGGCATCGACCCCCTCTCCCTGGACCTGCTCGCCAAGGAGGGCATCCTGGCGCTCAGGTGGGGAGCGGGCTGGTGGTGCCGGGTGGCGGCCCACCTCGAGGGTGGACGGGAAGGTCCTCCTGAGGACTGCAGCACAGGCAGGGAGTCCTGGCATCCACGCCTTGGGTTTGTTGATTCGGTCCCGTGGATTCGGTCTGGTCTTCCTCCCCCACCCCCCACCCACCCCTTCCTCGCCCCTCCACCCTCACAGGCGATCCAAGCGAAGGAACGCGGAGCGCCTGCAGCTGTCGTGCGGGGGCTTCGTGGTGAACTCCGTGGAGGAGCTCGAGCCAGAGTGCCTGGGCCAGGCCGGCAATGTCTACGAACACGTCTTGGGGGAGGAGAAGTACACCTTTGTGGAGGATGTGGCCAAGCCCACCTCCTGCACCATCCTCATCAAGGCACGTCGGCGGGGGGCGGCAAGCGAGGGGCCTGGCCCTGTGGTGGGGTCGACGGGGGTGCCCCGTGCCACTCCAGACAGCTGCGCGTGCTTGGGGCCGAGCAGTCTGCGTAGCTGTCGCTGCGCAGACCATCCTTGCGCCAGACACCGGACCTGGCCGGCGCAAGACACCCTGCCAGCTGGGATGTTGGGCACATGCTGGACAGTCTCCAGGATGTGGACCCCATCGGCCAGGTGACCAGCGCATGTCCCCACTCCCAACAATCCTCCGCCCGGCACTCCTTCCCCTTGCAGGGCCCCAACGACCACACCATCGCCCAGATCAAGGATGCAGTGAGGGACGGGCTGAGGGCGGTGAAGAACACCATCGACGACGCGGCGGTCGTCCCCGGCGCGGGGGCCTACGAGATTGCGGCCGCCAATCACCTGCGCAGCGTCACCGTCAAGACGGCCGAGGGGAGGTGAGCTGTGTGCTGGGAGGCTGGGAGTGTCGTGTGCATGGGGGAGAATGTTGCGTGGCCTGCTGAGGCGGCCGCCATGGCATGCTTCTTGATTACATGGGGGGAGGGGTGAAGATCGATGGCTTTCACATGCGGCAATGCATGGTGTGCTGGTATGCCGGGAACGCTGGTCAGGCAGCGTTGAAGGGGTCGCGTCGGGTTGCTCATCGTAGGCACTGCTGCACAGCCATGAGTTGCAGGGCTGCACCTAGACATTCGAGCACCCATCCTCTCCCCTTTCCTTCCCAACTCCCAGGGTGAAGCTGGGGGTGCTGGCGTTTGCGGAGGCGCTGCTCGGGGTGCCAAAAATCCTGGCCGAGAACTCTGGTTTCGACCCGCAGGACGCCATCATTGAGCTGACGGTGCGGCAGGGGAATCCCACGGGTGGGATGAGGGAGCCCTGCTTCCCATCACCTTCCTGGTCCATCCAGGCGCCCGCAGCCCTGCCTTCATGACTGTGTCCACTCACTCCACCACCCCAAACCAACCTCCACCACAGAGTGAGGCTGAGGCTGGCGGGGTGGTGGGCATCAACATCGCCACCGGCGAGGCCTGCGACCCGCGCACGTCTGGCATCTTTGACAACCACATCGTCAAGCGCCAGATCATGCAGAGGTGGGTGCCGGCCAAGGGGTTGGGGTTGGGTGCCCATGCATGGAGGGCAGGATGAATTTCTACACAGAGTGCGCACCAATGCACACAGTGAAGATGCTCTGCATGGGATGCTGGAGCAGTGGAAATCCTGAACCCCAGCACTCCTGGGGGCCTCGCCTGGCCTGCCCATCCACCCTCGCCCACATTCCTCCTTTCCACTCCCTGCAGCGCGCCCATCATCGCCTCCCAGCTCCTGCTGGTGGACGAGGTCCTCAGGGCAGGCATGAACATGCGGCAGCGGTAGGACAGCGCCGTCTGTTCGCGGCGAGGGGGGCTGGACTGCGCCCCACGGCAGCGAGGGGCAAATCCGCCTTTCCATGCCAATACGCACCCTAGGCCCAAGCCAGGCGTGTACTTGGTCCCCATCAAGGGCCGGCAGGAGCAAGTGTGAGGCATGCTACCCTCCCAACGCTTTGCAAATCCCCCTGTGTGTCGCCAGTGCACCTCTCCAGAGGATGCCTGCGCTGCGTCGTGGAAGGCAAGGCCCTGCGCATTCTCCGCTTCGCAGGGTGAAATTACAGACACTTGGTATAGAACCGCAAAGGGGTAAAATTGATCGATCGATTGCTGTGGATGTGCACACGCACTCGGGGAGAGGTGATGGGGAGTGCGGGCACGGCGCTGCGCCGTATGAAAGAAAATCGGGTGGACCAGGGAGGGTGGGCAGGGAGGCCCCAGCGCACCTGTGCCCGGCCCCGGGCGCCAGCGTGCCTGCGCAGCGCCATAAAGAATACCGTCTGAGAAAGAATGGGGGGGCAGCAAGGCCGTGGCCTGACCATCCTGGGCTGCTGGGACCTGTTTATTCGTCCTGCACTGCCGCGCTGGGGCCGACCAGGCTGCGTCGCCGCCGCCGTCGCCACCAGCGGCCTCAGTCGTCCTTGGACGGCGGCCGGGCCGGGCCGGCGTCCAGCGCGGCGGAGAAGTCCTGCTCGTCCGAGGAGCCCCAGCGCACGTACACCAGGGTGCCAGCGAGGAAGAGGAAGATGGAGGGCGCAAAGAGCGCCACGTCCCAAGACCCCGTCATGTCATACAGGAAACCTGGAATGTTTGTCATTTGGGGGGGGTGCCCGTCAGGGCATGAAATTGGGGATACGCGCAGGTGTACGATTTTGGGAAGGGGACAACAGGCAGCGCAAAGAGGTGACCACGGATCCACTCTACCACATGCGTGCACCAGACGTACACCGAGCCTGCGTCCAGCTCCAGGGGAGGACCCGCGCCCCACCTCGATCGCGATGTGCCACAGTCTTGCGGCCCGCCCCGGCCCCCTTTCCCCCACCACCTCCCTCCTCCATCGGGATCAACCCCTCACCCGTGCCCGCGATGCCGACGATGCCCGGCACCGCCCCGGCCACGTTGGTCATGCCGAGCAGGATGGGCGCGTAGCGCGGGCTCAGGTCTGCGTGGTTGCTGTACAGCCCGCCCAGGCTGAAGCTGGCCAGGCCCAGGGCCAGGGTCATGCTGGCCACGATCCCGGCGTCGTCGGTGGCCTGGGAGCCCCACAGCAGGCACAGCGCGGGCCCCAGGAAGGCCAGGCCCTGCGCAGACTTGCGCACCGTGGCCACCGCCACGCCGCGCTCCACCAGGAAGTCCGCGCCGGAGCCTGGCGTGAGGGTGGGTGTGGGTGTGGGTGTGGGTATGGGTGGGTGGGTGGGGAAAGGGTGTCGCATGGATCAGGGCGGGTGGCCTGCGGCCATGCATGTCCCTCTGCGATGTCTGGACCGCAGGACCCAGAATCACACATTCCCCCCCAGAAAGGAAACAACCCGAGACCCTCCCCACTCCATCTTGCCTGCCGCGAAGGAGACGGCGATGGCGGCCAGGGGCGGCAGCAGAGCGAAGCGCGCGGCGCCGTCCAGGTCGAGCGCCAGACGGTCGGTGAAGTAGGTGGGTAGCCAGGCCAGCATGACGTAGTGGAACCAGTTGTTGCAGAAGTGGGCAAAGGCCAGGGCCTGGAGCGGGCGGTTGGAGAGGAAGGCGCGCCAGGGCGTCGCGGGGGCCGGGGCGGGGGCAGACGCCGGCGGGGAGATCCTGGCGCCCGCCCCGGTACGTCGCACGGGCCGCGGCCCGCGGCTGCCGTCCAGCAGGGCCACCATGGCCGGGTCCTGGCGCTGGAGGCGCGCCAGCAGGGCCTCCCAGCCCAGGCACCACACGAGGCCGGCGCCGCCAAAGACGTAGAACACCGCGCGCCAGCCGCCGGCGGCGATCAGCGGCGGCGCGGCCAGCAGGCCCACCAGCGCACCCACGTGCAGACCCGAGAAGACGGCCGCGGTGGCGCGGGAGCGCCCCGCCACGGGCACCGCGCGCGCGATCATCTCGGTGGCGCAGGAGGGCGCCACCGCCTCGCCTAGGCCCACCGCCGCGCGCGCGGCGCACAAGCCCAGCAGCGTGCCCGCCAGGAAGGGCACGCCGGCAGTGGCCGCGCTGAAGAGGGCCACCGCGATGGGCAGCACGCGGCGGCCGCCCAGGCGCGCGGCCAGCCAGCCGCCGGGGAGCTGGGAGATGAGGTAGCCGTAGAAGAAGCTGGACTGGACCAGGCCTGTGGTGGGAGTGGCGGGCGTGTGGATGAGTGGGGGGGGTCGGAGATTTGGGATGGAAAGGGCGGCATGTGATGTCCGACAACTGGGTGACAGGAATCTGCAAGTGCAGAGGGAGTAGAGACGGAGCTGCCGGAGACGAGAGTACAGGGTCGGCGAGCCAAGAGTAGATTGCCGCGCCAAGCCTCAAACCACTAGGATGCACCCGCCCACCACAACCCGCCTGAGACGGTGGGGGACCAGCCGAACTCGCGGGCCATGGGCAGGATGGCAATGCTGATGTTGACCTTGTCCATATTGCAGATCATGAAGGACGCGGAGGTGGCGGCGATGAGCTTGGTGCGTGCGGGCAGGCCGTCGGCGGCGGCCGCCAGGCCGCCCAGCAGGCCCCCGCCCGGCCGGTCCTCCCCCTCCTCGTCGTATGAGTGCAGGCTGCCGTGGGACCCCCGGTCGGGGCCCCGAGGGGCCACCTCGCCTTCCAGGGAACCCTGCCGGTGCTGCAGGCCGCGGTCAGAGGATGACCGGGCAGGGGAGCCCCTGGCCCTCGCGCGCACCGTACGGTGGTCGGCCGGCTTGCGGCCCTCCAGCGCATGCCAAGCAGTCGGGAGGCGCCTGCAGCTGGAGTACATCTCGCCATGGCAGACCGCCCGCACGGGTGTGCAGGTTCCCGGAGGACCGGTGAGACTGCCCACTGAGAGCATCGCAGCGCCGTGACGATTAATATCCTCCACTCCTTACGGCACAACACAGCTGCAATGCCTGGTCAGATCCGTTCAAGGCCGAACGAGTCCTGGAATGGTGCGATATACACGGTCGTTCCATTAGCGTGTCAGCAACCTGCGTCCCATGAAGCGCAGGGACGGGAGGCGTGGGAGAGTGTATAGCAGGATATGAGATCACAAAGAACGTTGTGACGAGCTTCGCAATGTGTATGGCCTGTCAGAGACACGGCTGGAGGCCGATGCCGGGATTCAAGCGTCCGGCATGTGGCAGGGCATGCGGGCGCGAAGCGCCCCGATGCCTGTGTGTGCTCCCGTCTCCCTCCTCACAGGACGAACCCACAACGTGCGGCAAGGGCGGACTGTGCCACACTTATATCACCCTCCACCATACCGAGTCGTTTGTTGCATGCTCTCACAATAACCTGTCCCAGGTCTTCCTCTGCTGGAGTAGCGTGACCGCATGGTGAGTAGACACTACGCTGGTTGGGGCACCTCGCGGCTGATGCTACCTCTCTCTCACCCATTCGACCTATTCAAATCTACAGGCAGCTAGGATTTTGGCCAACCTGGCTGTCGCGGGTGCGACAGTCCTGTTTCGTGCCGCAACGCAAGCATACCGCCAGGCCCTCGTCAGTAAGTTCTGGACTCCAGGCAGATGACAACGCACAGAGTGTTCTACACGAGTCTTAATCCAGTCCCTGAGCGTGTAGAGTATCGAATCACCCTTCCATGGTCCTTTCAACCCTCCAGACGCCCAGAAGTCCGGTGTGACAGCAGACAGCGTGGGCGCCGCCGCCCGTCTAGGCAAGCAGCTGACCCGCCAGGAGGCCGAGCAAATACTGGGCATCGAGGCAGGGGCAACGTGGGAAGAGATTAGCAAGGTGCGTGGACCTTTGCGGCTCATGTGGGTGGGCTATTGTCATGAGTCTGGGACATGCATATGGACTGACTGCGGGCTGCAATGTGCTATGCAGTGCCCACGCCCTGGTCAGTTTGCCCTCAATGCCTCCCTCCTCTGTGCAGAAGTACGAGCACCTGTATAAAAAGAACGAGGAAGCCGGCTCCTTCTACCTCCAATCAAAGGTCTACCGCGCCAAGGAGCGAATAGAGCAGGACCTGCAGGCTGAGGGGGTGCCCACCCCCGACCTGACAGACATCCACACCCAGCAGCAGCAGCAACAGCAAGGGGCGACTGGGAAGGACGCGTGACCAGTGTGAGCGTCTGCGCAGCCTGCGGCCCTTGTTAACGCCCCCCTCTCTTGGCCCTGTGCCATTGGTCCCTCCCTGGACTCTGTGGGCCAACTGGCCAACAACAATGATTAAACGATTCGGCTCTATGGCCACAATGCTATGAGAAGCTGGCGTCAGGCGCTTTAGAGGGGAAGCACAAGAGTGACAGAGCACCCCAGCCCCTCACTTGGGCCTAGGGTGCCGGGAACAGAACCTGGGAAGGGTACTACGTACAAAGCTATCTGCCAAAGTATCGAGGTATAGCCCGAAAATACAGCGCCAGCCTGTGGAAAACCAGGGAAAGGGACTCTGGGGGGGCGACTCAACCCGCTCCAGGCCCCCCCCGCCACCCCTCGCGGCCCCAGGGCGCCGGCTGGGCGGGGCCAGCCCGCGCCTGACCCTGGGAGGGGGCCAGGGCCCCGTAGCCCAGCAAGTCCAGGACGCGAATGCTGAGCCCCACGGCCTCGTCCCCAACGATGGCGTGGGGGTCCAGATCGCCCCTGGCGTGAAGGGGAGGAGGAGGAAGCAGAAGGGTGTCAGCGAACACGGTCAGCAATGGGGTGAGCGATACGGCATGGGGTGGCGATAGGCTATCACGGCCCTCATCTCCGCACGGCATCGCATGCTTATACAAGGATGGCCGTGTGACTCACACAGCATGGGGCCTACCCTTTGATTCCAAACTCTCCTCACCAGACCCACCACCACCCTCCTCTTCCATCCCCTTCCCGCCCTTCATCCGACCCACTGAGCCCACCTGTGCACCAGGGCGCGGAGCTGGCCAGTGGTGTAGGGCCCCTCCTCGACGCCCCCGACCCCGGGGTAAGTCCACGCCCCACTCTCCTCCTGCAGGGACGGCACGCGTGGAAGGGGATGTGGACTGACGTCGAGTGGCGGGCAGGGTCGCGCAGCGTGGGCTTGGGTGGATGCCTGGAACGGGTGCAGCTCCTCCGCACCGGCGATGCACTGCAGCTCCTCCGCACCGGCGATGCACTGCACCTCCTCTGTGCACCTTCCCGCTCTCCCCGATCAGCACTCGGCAATGAACGCATCCCCCCCCTTCAAAGCTCACCGCCGCATCCTGCGCATCCCGCGCGGGGGCCCATCCCGGCCCCGCCTCCTGGCCCGGCCCCGCCTCCTGGCCCCAGGCCTGATAGTAGGAGGAGGCCAGCGCCTGTGCGGGCCCCTGCCCTGGGCGCGGGCGCTGCCCGGGGGCCTGGCCTGGCCGCGGCTGGTGCTGCGCGGTGAGCGGGACGCCACGCTGCGCATGCTGCGCCTCGTCTGCACGCCAGCCCGGCACGCGCCGCCGGGCCTCTGCGTCCGCTGGCCCCTGCGGAGGGGGCCCCTGCGCCGGCTGCGGGGCGGGGGCGGCCAGCTTCCGGCCGGCTTCCGTCAGCGCGGCGACAGCCGCCTCGCAGGGCAGCGTGCCCAGCATGGCATGCTCCACGGGGGTGGCGGACGAGACGAGGCGCGAGCGCAGCAGGGTCTGCAGCTGGGTCGCCGTGAAGGGGCCCTGCCGGCGTCGAGGGGTGGTGGGCAAGGGTGACGAGCGCGAAACGGCAGGGGCGCAGCACACGGGCGGCAGCGGTGGGCAGGCTCGCTAGGTAGCTGGCGGTCTGACCCTGCCAGCCCAGGAGCAGGCATGGCAGGCACGGCACGTCGACGAGCGACGCGCCCAAACCAGCAAGGGAACACGAGTGGCGAGGCCGACCTCTGCAAGCACTGCCTCCACCCTTTCCTTTCCCCCCACCTGCCGGTGTCCCTGCGCATCCTGGTATGTCAGGCATGGGCCTACCAACGCGATACGCAGCTCGGTAGCATCCGCCTGCCTTCCCTGGATGGCGGCACTCAGCTTGGCGCCCCCGTCGGGCAAGGACGTCAGAGCGCGCTGGGCAGGGGAAAGGATGGTTGCGGGGTGATGGTGGGGGCAATTGTGATGCGGTGTCAGGGTTCGAATAGACTTGGTATCTCTCACAGTTCCAGTCGCCCAACACTGGAGCCGCAAGTCTCCACTGTGCCGCTCGCCACGAGAGCGTGTGGCCAGGGTGACACAGGCATGGCACGCCTCCCACCCAGACACCTCAACCAGTCGCACCAGGTGGGCACGGTCTCGCAGGAGCACGGTTTCCTCGGCCAGGAGCTTCTTCACGAGGGCGGCCACCCGCCCCTGCACGTCACCGCCGGTCGGACTGGAGCCTGGGCGAGTTCGGGCTGCATTGAGGGGGATGGGGACTTGAACTCCATTGATGACGGTGGCGCAGAGGCAGAGGGATGTGCAGATTCTTGATGGCAGGCTCCGTTGACGCCAGGGGATGCTGGCAGGCTGGCCGCCCCGCAGCAGGATGACGGCGCCACATTCACAATCACACACAACTCGTCATGCACACCCCCCCCACCTGACATGGACCTCCCGAGGAGTCCCTGGCTGGGCACGAAGATGGACTGTATGCCGTCGCTGGCGGCAGTGCGGCCTGGGGTCTCGGCATCCTTCCTCTTGCGTGGCGTGGTGCTGCCGCTGGAGCGTGCAGGAGTATCTGCGCCCTCATGGGGGTTCAGGCCGGGGGGCGGCCGGGTCGGGGTGCTGATGGGCTTGCCACGTAGGATCGGGGAGGAGGGCAGGGACACCCTCCGTTCGAGGGGGGGAGGGGCGGGTTTCCTGTCCCCCTGCGGGGCCGCGAGACGGGCCTCAGGCAGTTTCAGAGCCGACACCTGTGGGTGCACAGAGGTTCATAGCATCGCAACCCGTGCGAAAGGATGGGGATCGCGGAAAGGTCCCGTCCGAGGTAACAAAGCCCTGCTCGCTTGTCTCCAGCTCACAACCACCTCACCTGCTGCTCCGTGGTCTTCTCTGTCGCATCGTCTGAGTCAGAGTCGAGGAGCCGAGGGCTCAGGATCACCTCGCCCACATCGACAGCATCGTATAGGATCGACGTCATGCTCGGAGGTCGACCCACGTGCCCAGCTTCGGGGGACCAGGCAAACGGGCCCTCAGCCTCCATATACCTTGCTTTAATGAGGGCCCTGGCATGGTTTATGGCATCACAGATGCATCTGAGAATGCTGGGAGGGCTGTTGCCATCCTGGAACTGGCCTGCTCGCCCGGCCGCGGCAGCATGCTTTCCAGTATTGGATCTCCGTAGTACGGGACCCACGAACTTACAAAGGACAGATGCGGCCCTGTCCACCTCCGAGCACAGATCCACGAGCACCGATAGGATGCAGAGGAAGCTGGATGCATTCTCTTCCTCGAAATCTTCTGCTTCATCGACACACCCGCAGGCGCCTGCCCAGGGCCGACAGGGCAGTCGGCTCGTCTACTTGCTCACCTCGAAGATTAAAGACAAGGAAGGAGGCGAGGAAGGAGCGGTACCAGGGCATGATCGACCCAGTATTAAGAGAGTGCGGGAGGAGGAGGGAGTTCCCACCCCGACTGCATCGGTAAGGGGAACTGCCCCAAGTTACCTCCACCTCGCCCTCCAACCGGTCACCAGCGGTGCCGCAAGCCGCCCACGCCCCGCGAATCGCCGTGCCACCAAACCCCCAAACCCTGGTGGCATGCTCGTGCTGGGAGGGCTGCCCAACGTGCTGGCCCCGCAGCAGAAGCCTTTCTGGCAGGCAGAAGAGCTCACGGCGCAACGCAGGCCGGTCACACTGCCGGCGTTCAACCACTACACTGACTCCCTTGCCCATGGGGTGCGTGGAATGTACTCGTGGGCGGCACACACGCCTCGATGAGGCCTGAGAAGCATCTTTTACTGCTCACCACCCGCGTCTACCTTTCAGTCAAATCCCTTTTCATCTCCCACAGGGCCCCGACCAACTGGGGTTGGACGGTGCACCAGACACCGCCATCCAGTGGGAGGGCGTCGGGACTTCAGCACTCTGAGCTCGACCGCTGAGGGACCGACTCCCAAACCCTAGCCAGTTGGACCCTGGCCACAGAACTGTGCAGGCATGCAGCATTGCTGCACATGAGCTTGTCAGCTTGGCAGCTTCCAAGAGTGCGACATGGAAGGGGCCCAGCATCACGAGCCGGCCTCGAGAATCAGGCCTTGGCTTCCAGATTGCTTTGCAGCTCTCGGACCCCTCCTGGCTTCTGCTCTGGGTCTCCTGCCACGGCAGCCTCCTCCCCCAGTGCTGGACCTTGCCCCAACGCCCGGATCTGCAAAGATGGTGGGATACTGGCAGGGTGAGCCCTGAAGGACAGGGTTCAGCTGGACTGCACCATGCTCAGACTGACTCATGACCAGACGCACACATGAACCACACTGCACGTTGTACTTTGCCCAAACAATATCACCTCATCACATTGTCACACCAGTGCATCCTTCAGGAGTTGGACGTGGCCAGACGCCGCGCCCTCCTGGGCAAGCTTGTCCAGCTCGGTGGCACAGGCTCTCCGGTGTGCGACCTCCTGGAGGCAGGGCATTCGGGAATGTGAGGCACAGCACACTCAGTCACTCGCAGCCATGCATCGAGGTGCAGACTCCCAGCCTTTGGGCAGCTCCATCGGTCTGGGACACATGGGCACTCGTAGCTGGTGGCACGTGTGGCACCCCCCTCTGCACTGACCTCCTGCAGCGTGGCGATGAGAGTCTCCCGAGCCTGGAAGGGGCGGAGCAGGCGCGAGAGGTGCTGCATGTTCCTCAGGATGACGCCCAGCGCCTCCACGCTGCGAGCGTAGGTCGAGGGCTGGGACTCCAGCGCACCCAGCAGATCGCAGATCCCCGCGATGAGCTCGCCGTGCAGAGCGTGCAGCTCTGCTTTGAAGTCTGTGGATGGGCGAGGGGGGGGGGATGATCTCTGGGTCCAGCCTTGCAGGCTATCCTTTAAGAGGAATTTCCAGGAGCTGCAACCACCAGCACTCCGCCCTGGGTACCTATGCTGCCGTCGGCCGCTTGATTGTACAGCTGTGCGGCATGCAGTGGCGGATCCCCAGCCTCTGACTGCGGGCGCCGAAGAGAAATGTGTTGAGGGTCAAGGGGCGTACCGATGAACATGTCATGACTTCGGGGTTCCTTCGGACCCTGCATATTTGCTCCTTTACAAAGAGGACGGCCCTCTTACCCCGCATCATGGGGATCCCGCTCACCGTGTGGACCTCTCCAAACAGGACGTACTCCCCGGACACTGGAGGGGGCGGAGGGGGAGGGAAGGGCCGCTCTGCGCTTCCATCCGCATCCCCCCTGTATAGTTTGAAGTAGGGCGGCGGGTGGGGGTACAGCTGCTGCTGGACGGTGGACGCTCCCGGGTCGGCCATCGCCTCCCTCCGTGATCTTAGGCACGGACTCCAAAGACTGAGGGTGAGGAAATTGATAGTCCTTTATGGAATATGTGGTCTTGCTGTACACAGGGCACTCTGCTCAAATAGGAGCGGGGCAGCACTACCACCCTGATGCCTGTATCTGAACGCGCGCGCTGGATCACTTTTGACAAGCATGCAGTTTGATCACATTGTCTCGACATAAACATGCATGCTTTAATCGCATTTGAAACTCGCCAAAATCATATTCTGGCGTTCTATTAGTTTCACCAGGACGAAGGCTGGGCATGGCGACTTTCTTTGAGTTTCGTGACTAGAAAGCTCACCTAACCCCGGCTGGGTTTGTCTCCATAAACCCCGAAGTATGCTGAGAAAGCTTGCAGTGTTCGGAACCCACCTAAATTCCACAACCTTGAAAGCCAGGATGGCCACCGCAGTCACATGCAAGTCGCTTGTCTACGAGAAGCCGGGGGACCCCGTAGAGGTCCTGTCGCTGAAGGAGAGTCCAGTTCCCTCCCCATCCTCGCTTAAGGATGGGCAGATCCTGATCAAGCTCATTGCGGTACGACGGAAGAGGATGGTGGTACAAGGAGGGGTTGAGGGAGGCCAGATTGTCTGGGACTTGAAAAATCAGAGGAGGCGAGAGGCCCCATCCAGCGATTGCCCTGCATCCCATCCCTGCAGTCGCCCATCAATCCGTCAGACATCAACACGGTGGAGGGCAAGTACCCGCTGCAGCCCGAGCTGCCTGGGACCCCTGGCAACGACGGTCTGGGCAGGGTGGAGGCAGTGGGCCCCAAGGTGAGTATTAGGGTTTGGGACAAGGGGTGTGCCAGTCAGCAGCAGTGGTTGAGGTCTCAGAGGCAGTGGGCAGGTGATGACTACCATACCAGAGCGGGGCATGCCAATCATTACTAGCCTCATCACGTTGAATGAGCAGGGTTGAGTCCAGGCATGCCTCACACAAGGCTGTGTTGCCCAGTACAAGGCCACTCACCAGCACCTTTCCCGTCCTGAGCCCAGAAGTTCTTCTCCTATCAGGCCACCCTTAGCTTTCCTTTCCAACCCCTCCATCCAGGTGTCAGGCCTGAGCCCCGGCGACCAAGTGGTCCCGGTGGCGGCCTGCCCAGGCACGTGGCGCTCCCACGCCGTGGCGGCTGCGAGCAACTGGCTGCGCGTACCCCCCACGCTCTCCCCCGAGGCGGCCTGCGCGCTGTCCATCAACCCCCCCACCGCCCTCCTCATGCTCCGCGACTACGTGGATCTGGCGCCCGGGGACGTGGTGATCCAGAACGGCGGCAACAGCGCCGTGGGGCGGCTGGTGAGCCAGCTGGCCGCCCGTCGCGGCCTGCGCGCCGTCAGCGTCGTGCGTGGCCGTGGCGACGCGGCCGCCGACGCCGAGCTGGCGCGGGAGCTGGAGGGCCTGGGCGCCGCGCTGGTGACCACCCCGGAGCGACTGAAGGCCGACCTGGCGGCCGCCGGGCTGCCCCCGCCCCGCCTGGGGCTGGACTGCGTTGGGGGGGAGGTGGCCCTGGCCCTGGCCAAGACCCTGGAGTGAGCTGCGTGGGGGAAGGGGGGGAAGGCACTGTGGGGATTGTGATAGGGGGGAAAGGGGCGAGATGGAGTGTGGAATGGAGAAGGAAAGGCGGCATGGCAGGGCATTGCGTGAGTTGGAATGGAAACAATACTGCAGTTGAGCCAGGAGGACGAGGTGGTGCTTGAGGGCTGGAGTGCAGTGCTGTCCTATATCTACCACCGGGAGGGGATCATGCCAGGGTTCCTGAGGCGTCTGCCTGATTTCGGACCCCCCGTGTCTGACCCCAAGGACACCCATCCGATGGCCTGCAGGAAGGGGGGCACCTTGGTGACCTATGGCGCGATGAGCAAGCAGCCCCTGGCCATCCCCGCACCCCTCCTCATCTTCAAGGATCTGCGGTTCAGGGGCTTCTGGGCCTCGGGAGGCTTCTCAAAGGTGGGTCTGCGGCGGACCCAGGGGCAGGGGGTGGGCCGGGGTGGGGGCTGACTGGTACGCAGAGGGTTGGGGATTGCGCACGCTGGCTTCCACGGAGAGAATGAGGAGGGAAGGCGCTGGCACAGTGGCAAATTCCAGCCTCACATCCCCTACACCCGTGCAGGATGAGGAGGGTCTGGCGAGGAAGAGGGAGGTCCTGAAGGAAGTCGCAGACCTCTTCGAGGAGGGTGCCCTGGACGCTCCCAAGTGAGTTTTAGGGTGCTCATTTGGGTGGGCTGAGATCTGCTAACCAGGGGTGCATGCCCGTACCCATTGCACCACCAGGCCTGTTGCACAGCTCTGTTCCGGCGCATGGTTCCCCCCCACAGATTCAAGAGGGTGGCGCTGGAGGACTGGAAGGAGGCGCTGGAGTCCATCAAGGACGGGAGGCTCAACTCCAAGCTCGTCTTCTACCAGGACAAGTAGGGCAAGGAGTGCCCCTACGCAGCTGCGCACACGTTAGAAATCTGGGAACCTTGCAAGACAGGCACTGTCTCTTCTCCTCATGAACCAAAGGCCTTCAATGAATGTATAGCACGCTTTGCGTACTCATCAAGAGCTTGTTGGGTTTATGCGTTGGGGAAGGAGGGGACATCTGAAGATGATTGACGACAGGAGTGGGAAGGTGCGCCCGCCCTCGAAGCCCGTGTTGCCCATCGACAAGAGCCGACTTGCTGGATTCATGCCCTGACGAGGCAGCATCCTGCCCTTTGATCCTCGAGAAGAAGTATACCCAGAATGTCAGCCCCGCGGATGTTGGCTTGATGCAGGATGCACCGCTCATACCTCGTTTCGGGTTCGAGGGCAGTCGGAGTGGGGAGGTCCATGTCCGCTCCCCCCCGCCAGGCTCCAGGATACCTACCTTTCAGCCACCGGTGAGGTGGATGAAAAGTCAACGGATATGATGATCGAGCATGTGGGATCGCAAGCGGAAATTCTGGACAATGCGTCTCAATGGAAAGCAGTGGGGTTTGGCGCTGCTCTCCCCCTGCAACAGGTGACCTCTAGCTTGGCTGCATCTCCTCAGACCGAGATGGTACCTTTGATACCTCCTTGTATGCTGTGGAATCCACAGGATCTGCCTCATGAACTGGACTGGGATGCAATAGTGGGCAGAGCAAGTACTGGCCAGCCTCACCTTCCTGCGGAACCAGGTGCGGCGACTTGCCTGATATTCACTGTGTAGCTTTGCAGCATGGCTGCACCCAGGATGGTGGGATGTTCCTCATCACCCGCTTGCGCTCTCATCCTTCCCCATGCCGCCCCTGCAGATGCCCTGCAGATGCGTCTGGAAGCCGTCCGGCCGACGTCCTGGTCATGGACAAACCTGGACCCCACCACTCCCAGGTGGACGCTCCAGAGCAGGCTCCCAACGACCTCCAGTGCCGCCTGGGGAGGGGGCGACGACTCCCGCTCAGAGCTCCCTCCCTTTGAGGAGGTCCCCTCCACACTATTGCCCACGGAGTCACTTGCAGTGCGGCAGCCTGGTGCAGACAAGTCTGCTGGGAAGTGGGGGCGTGGAGGCCAGAGCTCGCTGGCCGCAGGTGAGCAGAGTGGGGAACATGTCCCATGGGCCACCAACTTACTTTTTGTCGGGTGCATCCTTTTCAAATCAGTCTGCGACAGCGCTCTGGTGCCCCCAGGCGAATCACAGCGGTTCATGTGTGGCAACCATGCGGCCTCTGACCGCTCGCCTCACCCACTCCCGATGCCTGCCCCAGCAGCGGAGTCCGCCAGGCCTGCTGTGCCAGAGTCGGTGGCGGCAGCACGGGCAGAGGCGGCTTCTGGGAGCTGGTTGGAGGAGCTGGACGGCAGGGCGCCGAGGCGGGCGGTGCCACCGGGCCTTGCGCACATCCTGGGTGCCCAGCCTGAAGCTGGCAGCAGCTTGGAAGCTGGTCTGCGCAGACACAACCAGGACCCGGGGCCTGGGGTGGGGGTCCAGCCCCATGCACTCTCCGGGGACCCTTCCGCCCCCCTGAACCTGTCGCTCCAGGATCTCTTCAGGTATGGCTGGGTGGGTGTGGGGCTTGAAGGTCCAGCTTGGTTGCGTGTGGGTGTGACTGAGGGGGTGGCCCTCCATCCTGTGGGCGACCCACTGTGCTGGGGATGGTGACGGATGCATTGCAATGTCGCGCATCGGCTGGAGGCCTCCAGGCCCAGTTACTCATGCAAGCAAGGTGCATGCTGATGTAGGATTTCACCAGTTCCACCTACCCTCCATCCCTGCACAGCGGCATCTGGCTGGCCGAGGAGGAGGAGGGGTCAGAGGGTAGCAAACAAAGCGACGGCACCCAAGCGGCTGCAGCAGAGGGCACGCAGGATGAGCCCGCCTCGGATGTGCCAGGTGTGAGGAGGCAGCTGCATGTCCATCTCGGGGTGCTTCTGGGTGTGCAGGCCGAGCAGTCCCCTTTGCAGGTGGGCCCTGGCTTGCAATTCCTTCCAGCTTCCTGTTGTCCAGCCTCCTCCCCCCTCAATGCACTCCTCCCACCAGCGACGCCATCGCCACTGGAAGACATCTTGGGGGTTCAGCCCGGGGACCTTGGCTGGGCCCCGGGCCCGGGGTCGCTGGCGCCCCTGACCAACAACGCCCCCGTTTCCAAGACGCATGGCGCCCCGCTCTGGGTCTCGAGCAACCCTGTCCCCGATCTGGCCCGGCGCTGGGCGGCGCTGGCCCCCGGCCTCGCCCGCACCTGGCCCTTCGAGCTGGATGTCTTCCAGAAGGAGGCCATTGTGCACATGGAGGCGGGGCGCAGCGTGTTTGTGGCTGCCCACACCTCCGCGGGCAAGACGGTGGTGGCCGAGTACGCGCTGGCGCTGGCCAGCCGCCACGCCACACGCGCGGTGTACACAAGCCCCATCAAGACCATCAGCAACCAAAAGTTCCGTGACTTTGGCGCGGAGTTTGACGTGAGGAGGGATGTCAGGGCTGGGATCCGGGGGGGCAAAGGGAGATGTTGGCGGTGATTCCTGTGGCTAGGGGTGGAGGCAGACCCTTCCATTATTCCTAAGCACAGTGCCTCAGGCATCCCTCCCCTCACCAGCCCACCGCACCATCCACCGCACAGGTGGGCCTGCTGACCGGGGACGTCCAGATCAACCCCGACGCCTCCTGCCTCATCATGACCACCGAGATCCTGCGCAGCATGCTCTACAAGGTGTGTGTGTGTGTGTGCTCGGGGGGGGTGGGGGTATCAGTATTCTATGGTAAGGACTGCCGGGGCTGGCATGCAAATGTGGACCTCCGACCCATCCCCAGGTCACTCAATTTCATGGTGGCTCCTGCCCACCCTCACCTCATTCCCCCTTTCCACGCCTGCACAGGGCGCCGATGTCGTTCGCGACATTGAGTGGGTGGTCTTCGACGAGGTCCATTATGTCAATGACGCGGAGCGTGGGGTGGTGTGGGAGGAGGTGATCATCATGCTCCCGCCCCACGTCAAGCTGGTCCTCCTCTCCGCCACGGTGTGCTTTGGGCCTTCTTTCCTCCTTTGTTCAACACCGGGAGGCCGTGTGCTGGGGGGTGAGGAACCTAGGAAGCTGCCAACGATCCAGGCCCGACTCTGGTGCTGGGCTGGGCGGTGTACACTGGCCTCCGCGCCTGCTGAATTGGCACCTCGCCTACGATGCCGTGTGCCTCCATGCTCCCCCGGCGTCCTCGCCGCTCTCCCCACCCAGGTGCCCAATGTGCTGGAGTTTGCCGACTGGGTGGGCCGGACCAAGCGCCAGGTCATCCACGTGACGGGAACCACGAGGCGACCCACCCCGCTGGAGCACAGCCTGTACCACGGCGGCCAGCTGCACACCATCTGCCGGGGCGAGGCGTTCGACCCCGCGGGCTTCAAGGCGGCCGCCGCGGCGGCCGCCGCGAAGCTGGGCAAGGCGGGGGCCGCCCCGGCGACGCGCGCCGAGGCGCAGCGGGCGCTGCCAACAGGCAGGGGCGGCTCGGCCCCTCGTGAGTAGCCATGGCTGCTTTGCTTGAGGTGGTCTCTTGTCACCCTCGACACTGGGGTGGGAGTGCTTGGGGTCAGGTGGGTGTGGCCTGAACCCCTCGAGGCCCCATCCCTGGAGCGCCTCTCCCAGCAGCCTGCGTTGCCACTCCCAGCAAGGCCGAATTCACACCCCACGCCCACAACGCAGGCGGAGGAGGACGCGGGGGCCCATCGCACAAGTTTGGGGCCGGGGGCGGGCATGCCCCTGGGCGGGGAGGCGCCGGGGTCCAGCTGCGGTCGGAGCGCAGCCAGTGGATGCTGCTCATCCAGCTGCTGCAGAAGAGGCGAGGGGGGGACGGGGGGGGGGGGGGGGGGGGGTGTTATACCCCCTGAATCTCTACATGCAAGTCGGACGCAGCGTGTGCACTGCAGCAGGAGGTCCAATCCTTGGAGTGATCGGCCCGAGTGATCTGACTCGTGTGTGGCCCTGCACACTATGCGCCGTCCGCGTTCCGCCTGTACCGTCCTCAGGCAGGAGCAGGCGCTGGTTGATGCCTATGCGGCGGACGGCTGGCGGGGGGGGGCACGCGAGAAGGGGAGACCCCTGCAGGAGATCCAGCGCGCCAAGGACCAGATCCGGAGGTGCCGCGAGATCGTGCGGGAGTGTGTCAGGACCTGCGAGGAGGCAGGTGGGTGTCGGGTCGCTAGAGCTTCATTCCATTCAGAGGATGTGACACTGCCGCTGTGCTTGGTGCCATGCCTGTCAGGCACGCCTCAGTAGCCGGTGTGATTACATTACTTCCCCACCCACACACAGAGGGAGACACCCCAATCCCAGCCAGCTGCTTTGATGAGGAGGGGGAGCTCGACTCGGACGCCATCTTCTGCGCTAAGTGCGGAAATCGGGAAGCTGACGACGTGAGTTCCACACGTTGGCAGGGGCCCAGAACTGAGCGGAAAGAGGGAAGGGCGGTGAGCATCCAATTCTACGGGCCCGTCAAGGCACCTGTTCCCTCCGGTGCCCCTCTGGGTTTGTTTCCCCCCCTGCAGAACATCTCCTCGCCCCGCCCACCCCGATGATGCCTGCGCGGCCACTCAATGCCCCCACCCGCCCACTGCCGACAGGACAACGACATCGTTCTGTGCGACGGTCCTTGCAACCGAGCCTACCACTGCAAGTGCATCGTGCCGCCCCTGGACGTCAGCACCCTGACAGAGGATGAGGGCTGGCTGTGCCCTGCCTGCGACCACAAGGTGAGCCGCGGGGGGGCGGGGGCCTGGGCAGTGCTCATGACTTCACGGTTTCATGATTCATTAAGGGGACCCTGGGTCGCCTGTCCCGGGGGAGTGTATTGAAGAGCGTAAGGCCAGGTGTCCCCCGATCTGCCACCCTTCCCCACCTCCTCTTCACCTCCTTTATGTATCAACAAGGGCCGAGATTGTGGAGGAAATCGCATCCAGGGCCTGGAGATTGTGACCTATCGTCAGTATCTTCAACCCGATTCACTTGAACCTCCTCACTACAGGGAGTTGCTGCCATGCGTCGCGTTCTGCTTCAGCAAGAAGCGATGCGATGCTCTCATCGACAATCTCCAGGTTGTTGTCGGAAGAGGAAGGGGGGAGGGGCATGGGAAGCTTGCCCTTGTTTTGCCAGGCATTCTCCATCAATCTCACATATTCTTGACAAACCAGCCCGAGGAGGCTCTTTACCCCTGCCCCTGCTGGGCAGGGAGCAGTCCACTGTGCTGAAAACAGGCCCCTGCCACCCACCCGGCTCACCTAGCTGCTGCACACCACCCCTCAGACGCTGGACTTTACCTCCTCCAGCGAGAAGAGCGAGATCCACCTCTTCTGCGAAAAGTGCTTTGCCAGGCTGACGGGGACGGATCGGCAGTTGCCCCAGGCAAGGAGCAAGTTTAATTGAGGGGTTGGGCCGGAGGACATGGAACATCCTGGCTGGGCCTGCTGAAAACATGGGAAAGGGAGACCTTTGGCCAGCGTGCAACATGCTTCCATGCATGGTCAAGGAGGGCATCTCCAGACACAGAGCAACTTGGATTCAGCACGCCCCACTCTCGACCCCCCCAACTAACAACAGGTCTTACGGGTCACGGAGATGCTGAAGAGGGGGCTGGGGGTGCACCATGCGGGCCTGCTGCCCATCGTGAAGGAGGTAGTGGAGATGCTGTTCTGCCGCGGCATCATCAAGGTTCTGCTTGCCACAGGTGGAGAGGGTCGGAGGGGCTGCAGCGACTCAGATCGTGAGATCCTGTACCGCACCGGCGATGGCGCCATCTTCAGCGCCACTGCCTGCACCATGACCCTGCATCATCACCTGCTACCAGCTCATTGTACTGCCATCCCAGATGTCCCCCATTCCATCCCTCATGACCATCAGTGTTCCCTCCAAACCCCTCTGCTCACCTCCGATCGCCAGCCTGAGCTCTTGTCTCCCCTTGTCACCCCCCATCCTCCAGAGACGTTTGCCATGGGGGTGAACGCCCCCGCCAGGACGGTCGTCTTCCAGTCGCTTCGTAAGCACGATGGTCACAGCTTCCGGCCACTGCTCTCCGGTGAGTACACCCAGATGGCGGGCAGGGCCGGCCGGCGGGGGCTGGATGCGGTGGGCACCGTCATCGTGGCCGCCTGGGACGAGCTGCCGCAGGAGGGCGACATCCGCCGCCTGCTGACGGGTGGGTTTGGGGCATGGTGGAGCGAGTGGCTGGTGTAGGGTGTGGAGGGCCCTGCAGGTGATGTGAGTGGAATTCAAGCCTTGCAGTCAATCGATGGCTGTGGGCTTCAGGCTGAGAAATGTCGGCATGGACCGGAGCAGTGTGAGCGCCTATGGAATGTCCTTGTCGTCTCAGTTATGATGGTTGGCTAGAGGATGACCTTGTGGGTATGGGATGGCACAAACTCCACGCTCAGTTCCCCCCGTCTCACCCCCTCGCAGGCTCAGCCACGCGACTGGAGAGCCAGTTCCGCCTGACCTACTCCATGATTTTGAACCTCCTGCGCGTGGAGGACCTCAAGGTGGGTCAGAGGATGGCAATTGAGGTCTGGAGGAGGCCCAAGCGCTCTCCATCACGTTCACAAATTGCCACGCATCGCTGCGACCCATGCCGCTGCCCCATGCTGCCCACCCCTCCGGTCCCCCCCCAAATGCCTCGCCCTCTAACCCTGCCGCCACGCAGGTGGAGGACATGCTGCGGCGCTCCTTTGCCGAGTTCCATGTCCAGAGGCGGCAGCCCGAGCTGACGGCGGTGCTGGAGGAGGGGCAGGAGGCCCTGAGGAAGCTGCGCGCCCGCTCCTGGCCACGCTCCCCGCTGGGCACGACGCGCGAGGCGGTGGAGGCATACTACGACGTGTGCGCCGAGGTGGCGCGACTGGACTCCCTGGTGCAGGGGGAGGTGGCGCAGAGCCGCGCCGCCGCGGCAGCGCTGGCCCACGGCCGCCTGGCGCTGGTCACCCACCCCGGCTCGGGCCTGGTCGGCCTGGGGGTGGTGGTCGAGGGCGGGGCGGGCGGCGGCCGCGCGGCGCCGGGGCCGCGCCCGGCCGGCGGTGGTGCGGAGGCGGAGGGTCCCGCCCGCACCATGCTCATGCTCTACTCCCCTGGACCCCGAGACGAGTACGCCGGGGCGGGGGAGGTGCAACGAGACACTGCCGAACCTGCACCGGCTGCGCAGCCGGCGCCCCCTCCCGGCCTGAAGCTGATGGGCAAGAAAAAGGTGGGGGTCGTGGTAGGATTGGGGGGCTGTGTCCTGTGTTTGTGTATGGGGGGAGGGAAGTGACCGGCCTGCCATGCAGCAATTGATGTGGCATGGGGGCTCAAATCTGATGAGGCTCTGCAAATTTACAGTGTGGGCCTTGCCTTCACCTACCCCCTCCAAACCCGTCCCCCCCTCCCTTTCGCTGCTCCCTCATGTACCTTCCTCTTTCCCCATCCCACTACATCTCTTGACCCAGAACGACGACGACGACCTGCTGCTCATGGGCAAGGGTGGGAAGAAAGGAGGGAAGAAGAAGCCGGTGGCAGCCCTCGCTACCCCGGCCCTCGTGCTGCCCCACCGCGGCAGCGTCGCTGGCGCGCAGTACCTCATCGCGGAGGTACCGCTGCGCTGCATCACCGGCATCTGCCGCCAGCGGCTGGCGGACGTGGACGGCCCGGGGGTGTTGCACGGCACGCCCGCCGCGCTCTCCACGGCCGTCTCGGCGCTGCTCCGTGCCCAGGCCGAGGCCGGGCCGTCCGGCGAGCCTGAGACGCTGGACCCGGCCACAGACTTGAAGCTCCAGAGCTACGGTCAGCAGTGGGGGGGGGGGGGGTTGGCGTGAGGAGTGGCGAGGGAGGGGGGGGGTGGGAGTGAGGGTTTTCGGGTCATTCACCCCGTGAATTTATTGCTTTTTGACGCAACTGCACCTTGAGCGATCTGGCTCCAGCTGGATGTTATGTTGTCAAGCGCTCCAGAGGTCTGAAGCTAAGGGCTGGAGTTGGTAGTTTGCTATCATCATCTGCGTATATTCTCCACCCACAGAGGTCGTGAGGGCCGCCAGGGAGCGAACTGTGCTGGCCGCTCAGCGTGGCCTGATGGCAGCCCACTCCGATCCCCTGCTGCCAGAGATGTGAGTTGAGGGGGAGGGTCCAGGGCGATTTGAAGTGGGCTTTGACTGGCAGACGTCAGGCCGCCTGGGGCTGAATGGCCGGACGATCTGGATCCCATTGGCTCATTCAATAGCTCAGCGACCTGGGCAAGCCGGGGACTCCTGCATGGGCTCAGATTGACACATTCATGGTATCCGCCTCAACCTCCCCTTCCCCCATTCCCCCCTTGGCCTCCTCCTTCAAATAACCAAGTACAGGTATGCCATGATCCGCAGCGAGAAGGTGCTGACCCAGCGCCTATCTGTCATGGTCAAGCGGCTGAGCAACGACAGCCTGGCCCAGCTGCCCGAGTTCCACCAGCGCGTGGGGGTACTGCAGCGCCTGGGGTACCTGGACGCGGATCGCATGGTGACCCTGAAGGGGCGGGTGGCCTGCGAGCTGAATTCCGGGGACGAACTGGCCGCCACCGAGCTGGTGTACGGCGGCGTGCTGACGGACCTGGAGCCCGAGGAGGCCGTGGCCCTGCTCTCGGCCCTGGTCTTCCAGGCAAGGCATTGGGGTTGGCGAGCAGATGAGAAGGGGGAGGGGGGGGGGGGGGGGGCGCGGGAAGGAGGCACAGGATGCTGGTGCGTATCAGAGTCACCGACCACGGCTCTCCGACCCGCTCCGGTCATCCACCCACCACGCACAGGAGAAGACGCAGGCGGAGGTGACCCTGCCGCCACGCTTGGCAGAGGCTAGGGACCGGGCGATGGACCTGGCAGAGGCGGCCGGCGTCCTGCAGGCGGAAGCCGGCCTGCAGCTGGAACCCGTGGAGTGGGCGGCCTCGGTGCTCCGCTTCGGGCTCGCAGAGGTCGGTGCGGGGAGGGGTGCATCGGCGCACCTGGGCACCGAAGACGGCGACCGGCAGGAGCTTGATTTGGTGCCGCGGGTGTGATTGCAATCGAGGTGCACATGCGCAGCTGCAGTGATTGTGACTCCCTGCTCATCGACCAAGCGCCCACCGACCAGGTGGTGTACGAGTGGGCACGGGGGACCCCCTTTCACTCCATCTGCGAGCTGACAGACGTCATGGAGGGGACCATTGTCCGGGCCATCGTCCGCCTGGATGAGACGTGCAGGTGAGGGGGGTCTTCACTTCTGTTGGGGTGTTGGCAGGGACTGCGCCTGCTGCTGCGGCACATGGCAGACGCAGAACTCAAGGAACGGCACCGTCGCTGGGGGCGCTGCCCACGCATGCCAAGGGGCCAGTTCAGCAGGCCGCTAATGTCCAGTGTGCCCCCGGTGCAAGTATCCATGCCTTCAACCCCGCTGAAATTCCCTCATTTACACACAGGGAGTTCCGGGATGCAGCCAGGATCATGGGGAATGTGGACCTTTTCAAGCAGATGGAGGCCGCGTCGGAGTGCATCAAGCGCGACGTCATCTTTGCTGCATCCCTGTACGTCACCTGAGCGCGTTGCCCTCGACAACTGTCAGTGATTGTGGAGGGTTCCCTTTGTGACTCAGTGTGGCTGGCTGGTGGGTGCATCGTTGGTGTGCTTTCATGTCTCCTCCATCATACTGGCCCGTCCTGAGCATCCACTTACGAGGAAAGGGTGCCAAGGGCCAAGCTCGTGTGCATTCTTATTGTGATCCGTTTCCAGAAATGCACACAACCTCTGGAGAGTAGAGGACTCGAGGGCACTGGCAAAATGGGGCAAGGCTAATAGAAGGTCAGGTTCTGAACAGACACTGTATTGTAACTCACTGCTAAAAGGACGTCGCACATGAGTATGTCGGGGCCAAGAGGGTGCTCTGGTTGGTGTTGGCTACATATCTTGGCTCTTGAATCAGCTAGGTACTCGTTCCGTCCGGAGGTCTCGGTTCTTGCTGGCAGACACTCACCCCGACACACCAGGCCGTATCAGTGGAACAGCCTCTTGAAGAAGCTGCCCTTCTTGGGCTGCTTGTGTGACTTCACGGCGCTCGAGGTCTGGACGCTCTCAGGACATGCATACCCGTTCCCTGCTGCTGCAGGCCCCATGGGCTGGTGCATGCCGGTGTCGGTCTTGGCCGGGCCGGGCCAGGCCACCGCGGCTCGCTGGTCCGCGGCCGCCCCCGTACGCACACCAGCGCGGCCCCGCTCCCCGCCGGCCCCGGTCGGCGCGCGCTCCGGGTGGTCACCCAGCACGGGCTGGTGCGAGGTGGTGGGCACCACGAAGCTCTTGCGGGCCACGGGGCACAGCTCAAAGCGCCCGGCGCCAAACGCCCCTACGCCGATCTCTGGGGCCGGGGCGTCACGGAGGGCGGCGCGCCTGTCGTGCTCCGACCGCGTGCGCATGCCCTGCACGTCCGCCAGCACCACGCTCTTACGCATCAGCGCTGCGGAGCGGGGTCGGCGCGGTGACCCCGCGCCGGCGCCTTCCGGGGCGGCAAAGGTGACGGAGGCCCGTAGGGTCCTCCGCGCTTTCCCGGAGCTGTTTTTCTCAGGGGACGCAGGTGTGGTTGGCAAGGGGTCTGGCACAGGCCCTGCCTCGTCAAACCCTAACCCTTTCTCCTGCTCCTCCGGGTCCGTCGCCAATTGTGCCAGGCTGTAGGCCAGGCTGCCGACCTGCACGCTCTTGCGCCTCAGGTCTGCCCACCGCGGCCCCTCGGTCGAGCCTCCGTGGCCCACCGCCTCAAAATTGCTGATGGAATTGGAACGCGTCAGGCCGGAGGGGGGATCTGCCGCTCCTGAGGGTGTGGAATCGTCTTGCTGAGTGACCAGCCTCATGGAAATGTGCAGAGGAAGAGCAACTGGGTGCCTGGCACGCTTGCGCTCGACGGAGAGATGGAGCGAGAAACACGGCATTGCAAAAGGCAGCCTGAAACTCCCCAGGCTGCTCACCGCTCTGGCCGTCCATCCCCGCCAGGTCGCCGGCGCTGGAGGACATGGGCCTGGAAAGCAGGAACGCCATGCCCTCGCCAGTTTCATACTGGGCGGGGGGCAGGCGCGAGTTCAGCAGGCGCAGCTCCTTGGGCAGCTGGGGGAGGGGGGCTTGGGAGGGGGTCAGTCATCCTTCGGCAGGGTGACAAATACGCAGCACAGAGTATGTAGAAAGGGCGTAGGCTCCTCTAGGCGAGAACGCCACGCCTGGTGCGCCACTCCTAGGACCTGCTGTGGAGAAAGCATCACTTTCCAGTTGGCCCTCCCCATCATGGCACCAAGTACTTGGGCCGGATGCAAGTGCGGCCGTTCCAGGGCGCCCCACCTGGATCGGCTGCAGGATGTGATGCGACGGCGCACCATCGTTGTGAGAGTGCAGCTTGGAAAGAAGGGCAGCGGGCAGGATGCTCCACTGGCGGCGCACCTCTGGCATGGCCAGGATCTGGGGGATGAGGATGGGGGTCGATCGTCGGGCAGGGGCAGGACATATCTTCCACTCCCTCATTCCCTCGCTGTGGCCTTCACCACCGCAGTCGTGGTGCCTTCTTTCCCCAGTCCCGACACGCTCGGCGTCCCTCCCTCCTGCCCTCCACCTCCCTGTCAAGACACACACCCCCGCCCTCCTTTCCCCCTTCTGGCTCACACCTCGGTGATGGTGGGCCGCTGGATGGGGCAGGGGTTCATCATTGCCTTCACCACGGCATCCAGGTTGTCGCTGTAGCGCGGGGGCAGCAGAGGGGGCTGATTCAGCATGACGTTGCGCTCCACCTCGGCGTCGGTCTCGCCGGGGAAGGCCAAGCGCAGGGTGCCCAGCTCCAGGGTCAAGCAGCCGAGCGCCCACACGTCGCTGGACAGGGAGTAAGCCTTTCCCGCCCACATCTCTGGGCTCATATAGTACGGGGTCCCAATCTATGGGTCAAGATGAGGGGTTGGCAGGTGTTCGGTTGGTGTCAAATGCTCGGCATGTCAACCAAGACCATCCCATACCCTTGCTCGCGCTTCACCCCACCTGAGTGCGGGTGAAGATTCGCTCCAGGATCCTGCTGATCCCAAAGTCTGTCAGCTTGACAGTGTTGCCATTGATCAGGAGGTTCTGCAAGTGGGCAAAGAGGTTGGAGGGCTCAGGCGGCAACGAGATGCCCATTGGGAGCTCCATGCGATCTTGCACTTACTTTGAGTAGATGTTGGTTCTTTTCCCCAATCATACATGTCTGATTAGCATTTTCCTCACCCAAGCTCACTGCTGGTTTGACGTCCCTGTGCAGGATCTTGCAGTTGTGGAGCTCTTCGAGGGCCAGAGCTGTTTGCAGGAAGATGCTCCAAATGCTGTCCTCAGGCACAAAGGAGTGCGCTTCACGCGTATTCCTGCACGGCGAATGGGTGCAATTTATAGTTACACTTGTTTGGTGAAGCCTGAAGCATGCCGTCAGGGAATGCTCTTCAGATGCATATCGTCCAAGGCAAGTATCAAATACACCACACCACTGCGGTAAAATCCTTGCCATCTCACTCGATCAGGGTTGCCACATCCCCTCCCAACACCAGCTCGGTGATTATGCATAGCCACTGCTCCTCCACAAAGGCCTCGTAGTATCGCACGATGTTGGGGTGGGACAGAGACGCCAGGTACCGAATCTCCTCCACTAGACTGATCCGCTCGACGCCGCTCAGCTTGGACATGTCGGTGGCTTTCAGGGCGTACTCCCGCCCATCGTCCACTCGCTGCACCTGATACCTGCAAGCGCATGCACGAGAAAGCAATAGTATCCAATTGGTGAGCGTGACTACCGTGGCTACCGCGCCGGCAAGGATCACCCACTCGCAACTCACACATGAGAGTAGGAGCCGGAACCCAACTCCTTGACGATATGGAAATGCTTCAGCAGGCATAGGTTATGCTGACCCTTGAACGGGTCTAATTTTTTGTGATGTAGCTTGTCGAATATGCTTGGCATGGTGGGAAATCTTCAGCGTTCCTCTTGCCACACCCGTGCCCTTCACCCCAGGAGGGTCCCGGAGGGTTTTAACTCGGAGTCGTGCAGCGCATTTCGGCAGCTCTCCTCCCGCACTGAACGGATCGCGCAACCGAATCAGGATTTCTCCACAGGAACGTGGAGTCCGATCCACTCAGACTGTGGATCGCGATAGCCAAAAACCTCGGCATCGAGTGCGAACAGTGACTCACCGCCCCCACGTGGGAGACAAAGTTCACCCGTGCCCTATTTCTCTTTGTCCGGGAGACCGGTGAGATCCGTAGCAATATGATGGAAGAATTGGAAAGATTTGAAGGCTGTCAATTACCTCCTTCCCAACGACCACCAAGCTCAGACGCGGCGTGTGCACTTCATATGTATCCCATGGTCCGGTTGCAGGGTTAGCCGTATGACTCCTGATCGGAGAACCGTCTCCAGAGGGACTGCGGACTGATCCAGGTTGATGAAGGGGGAGAGCTTCTCGGTACCTCATTGCAGACCCTGCTTCTACATGTGCGCACATGTTGAGTTCACTGCCTCAACAGTGCCTCCATGCCCCTGGAAACCCTGACCTTACCTCATCCACGGCTGTAAAGGTGAACCTTCCCCAGATGCTGGCGAGGATGGCGCGGTAGTTCATCTCCGCCATGGCCTGCCCTGCACAGCTCCGTGTCCCCTGGCTGAAGGGACAGAAGCGGAGGGCTTGACCCGGCTGCCCCTCCACATGTTCGCACTCCGGCGTCAACCACCGTTCGGGGTCGAAGACTTCCGGCCGATCCCAGAGGCCAGAGGAGCGGTGCATGATGAAAAATGGGATCCTGGTTGGTGGGAGGGTGGTGGAAGGGGGGAGGTTGGGTGGCTCTCACCTCCCGTGCCCAACTTGAGCGGCCTCCAAAGCATTCCTTCCATGATGCCAGGCACAGGATCTCCTGGTGCATCAGCCCCCAGCATACCCAAGGGCTCACCAAATGAGGGTCCCCGCAGGTATCCTGTAGCCCAGGATGTCGGTGTCCCTGTCAAACTCGACTGCCGTGCCTTCCGCGGAGACGGGCATGATGCGCAGAGTTTCCTGCGACAGGGAAGGAGTCGGGGGAATCTGCTCAGTTTGGATGCCACGCATCCTTCAGCAGCCTCCTGCGGGTCAGCATCTCCCTTGCCACACGCATACCCTTCTTCACCCTCCCATTGCCTGTACCCCCCCAGCGCCCCCCATCCTACCTTGACGACGGCACTGAGCCAGCGCAGCCTGCCGAGGTCTCCGACCTCCAGCTCCTTTGCGCCGGGCCCACAAAGACCCAGCCCCTTGAGCTCCTCCTCCACTCGTGCCTCGACCCCGGGGTGGAGGCTCACCAGGTACTGCGAGCACAGGGCAGGCATGACTGGATGGAGCTGCATGGTGAGGCACACTCCTGGAGTGACAGCAAGGGGGGGCGGGGCATGGCACGTGCCCAGGGTGCTCGACCGAACCCCCCTCTCCCTCCCCCTTCCCCTCTCCCTCACCAGCGCCCAAGCCAGGGTGTTGCCGGTGGTGTCTGCCCCTGCCACAAACATGTTGCTCAGCTCTGACAGGAGTCTGGCCTCAGACAGGGGACCCTTGGTGCTCGGGTCCAGGGTGCTCAGGAGCAGGGACCCCAGCGAGTAAGGGGGCAGGTCGGCCGCACGCAAGCCGCGCAGCAGGGCGCGCATCTCGGCCTGGAACACCCTCGTGGCCGCATTGGCCTCTCGCACAGACTGCCCAAAGAGAAGAGGGAGGGGTGCGCTGTACGTCTCAGGCCAATCATTCATCGACGTTCCGTCGCCTGCATGTCTCTGGGTGTATGAATGACGAGCGGCAACACCACTTGGCACATCCTCACCCTGTCCCAGCGTGCATAGCGCCTGAAAGGGTTTGCGCTGCGTTTGGGCACCTCGTGCATCATGGCCTCAAAGGCTCGCATGATGGCGTTTGCGTGCATGGAAGGGGAGCCGCCATATGCCTGAAGGATGGCGCGAGCATGGGGATGGGGCTCAGAGGGAATTCAAACGCGCAGACTGGGGGTCTGCATGGTGGCATGGACGGTACGATCCATGGAAGCTGATGTTGTGGCCAGAGCAAGGTGCGTCAACCATGAGTTCCAGCCAGGACGGCTTGCATGGGGAGCATCGGGTGCATGTGATGAGCTGGTGGAGGGCAATGCAGGTCCCTCGACCCCGCCTCCGCAGGCGTCATCTCACCTCCACCGAGCAGTATGCGTGGTGGAAGCCCAGATGGCCCACGGCATCAAAGCTGGCCCTCAGCATGAGGTCTGCCACGTCCAGCGGGGCGCCATCTGTTGCATGGCTTGCCAGCACAGCATGCAAGGCCCTCAGCACTGGGCGGAGCTCCGGGAAGCCCTGCCTGCCCAGGGTCGGGGAGGGTTGCGAAATAGCCTGGGCATCTGGCCGCTCCCAAGGGCAGATGATACATGTTCTGGCTAAGCCAGAAGAGGTGCGCTGGAAAAGCTCAGCGCTTGGCGCCCATACATAAGGCTGCGGTGCGAAGAAGGGAAACAAGGAGCCTCATACTGCACAGTGCGCCTGCCCGTGGGCCCCAGCATCCCACCTGAGGCTGGAGGCGCTGAATGCGGGTGCCGTGCCTTTCCTCACGGCCCTCCACAGGGGAGAGGCCGTGCGAGCAGACACCATGTTGGGCTCCCCGCACTCGGAGTTGAACTGTGGGAGCGCAGGGTTTATGTGGTTGCGAGGGAGGGTCTGCCTGCTGGGTGCTCACGGGTCCATGCAGGCGACGAACCAGCGCCTGGAAAACCCACCACCCCTCCTCTGTCTTGCGGGAAAACACAAATGCCACGCAACAATCACGCACCATGTTGCCAACATGATACACGATGTCAGGCTTCTCCGCCCCGCCGCCCAGCCGTAGGGCGGCGGCCGCAGCCCTGGGGTCCGACAGGACCACCAGCCGGCTGGTGAGCAGGCGCAGGGAGTACACCGGTCCCAGCTGGGTCGCCCAGTCAAAGAGCCGGAGGTGGTGCTGGGGGTGGGCGAAGTCGGAGAGGTGGCCCAGCAGCCAGGAGGGAGTTGGGGGGATGGGGAGGCGGCGCAGGCAGGCTTCGTTGCGTGCCAGGCGCAGCAGGCGTGGCGTCGAGATCAGGGCGAGGGCGGCCAGCAGAGCCGTGAGGAGGAGGGGATGCCATGTGGCGCCTCCAGGCAGAAGGGTGCGGGTGTGTGCGAGCGGGGAGGGCAGGATGGCCTGGGTGATGAGTATGGGGAACTTGGGATCCATGATCTGTGGATGCTGGGACCGGAATCCCCAACTCGCCGCGATGCCGACCGCGGCAATGTGCATCTGATGGTTGCCCTGCCTGGCATGACGCTGCGCGGGTGAAGGGCAACAATTGCGCACGGACTTTGGGGAGACGAGGGGCCGGAATGGACGTCGTCGCCCTGCAGGATCCGCACCTGGAAAGCATGTCCGGAACCTGCGATCCAATTTTATGCACCCCGTTCCGTCAGAATAGAGTGATTCCGGCACCATGCGAACGAACACGGAGGACAGTGGAGAGGAAGTTTCTCTGTTCTTGCAGGGTAAGTTTTATCGGGGTGTTCTAAGCGAGCAGAGAGAAAGGGAGGGCTGTCGAACGATTTGTGAGCCACGACCAATGCGTCTTTGCAACACCTGGTAGCCTCAGCGTCATGATCAGCATACCTCCTCCCAGGCGATATCGAAGGCGTGGCGGAGGTCGGGCTGTCCACCCCAGCCAACGTGGTCGAGCGTGCCCTGCGCGAACCTGCCTCCTGGGCCGACTCCAACTTCTTCGATTCCTTTGAGGACGACATCGACGAGAGCGACATGCAGACCTGAGCTCGCCCCTGCCCCGGAGAGGCATGGATGCGGCTGCCGAGGAGGAACTCTCGCGCACCTACCTGGAGCTGTACGTCGACTATCGCATGACTGTTACTGGCCTGTACTTTACGCCTCTCCGAGGTGATCAGTTTGGCGGGAGGAGTGGGGTGTTTGTTTTGGCTCGTAAGCAGGCTGCAGTGTTGTACACTAAAGAACGATGCCGGGCCTTGCCCCCATGGAGGTCCGCTCCATCCAAAGTGCACTGGCTCTCCCACCCACTCCCTCCAGACTGTTCCACTTGCTGGCCACTCCTGACCCCTGATGCCCAACCCCCTCGTCGCAGATCCGCAGACCCCTCCCTTCCACGCCGGGATCCAGACGCTGAGCGCCCGATCTCACGGTGCACCCCCAAGCCCGAAGCAAGCGCCCCGCCAGCCCACAAGGCCCGAGTGAGGCGCCTCCGTTATCGACCCCCGCCCAGCGCGCACAGCAGGCCGCCGCCGGATGGCCTCCGCGCCGCACGCTGCCCAGCAGCGCCGGGATTCCCAGGCCGCTCTGATGGCCATGGGCGCGTACGAGCGGCACAGGCGCCTGCTGGCCTCACTGGCGCGCTATGGCGCAGGCGCCCGGGGACAGGACCCCCCCGCCCCCGCGCCCCTGCCCAGCCGCACCGATGCCGACGTGCTGCGCGACAGCTTCCGCTTCATCCGCAGCGATGCGGAGGACGCGGCGGGCGACCCCTGGGAGGTGCGCCTGGCGCGGCGGTACTACGCGCAGCTGTACCGAGAGTACGCCATCGCCGACCTGTCCCGCCACCGCGAGTCCAGGCTGGGCTTGAGGTGGCGCACGCAGCGCGAGGTGGTGGCGGGCAAGGGCCAGTTCTCCTGCGGAGCCGTGGTGAGACGGTGGGGGGGGGAGGGGGGGGGTTTTGGGCGCCCCGCCCCCCTCGGGCCTGCACAGTGTCGTGCAAGGGCCTGCACATGTGTGCCGTGGGTAGCATTGGAGCCATGTCGCCTGGCTCGCCTGCTCCGTGCTGGCGTTTCAACCACCCTCAAGACCACATGCTCGTCGGCCGCTGCGCAGGGGTGCGAGGAGCGGCGTGGCCTGGCCTCGTTCGAGGTGCCCTTTGCGTAC